ACCCCATGGACTGCATCACGCCAGGCCCTCCTGTCCTCCAGAGTTTGCTTAATTTCATGTTCATTGCATTGATAACACTGTAAGCACCTCATCCTTTGCCGTCCCCTTCTTCTTTGACCTTCAGTCTTTCCCAGCATCAGGGTCTTCTCCAGTGAGTGCTCCCTTTTCATTTGGTGGCCAAAGGATTTGAGCTTCAGCTTCAGTATCTGGCCTTCCAGGGAACAGTCCAGGTTGATTTCTTTTAAGATTGACTGATTTGATCTCCTTGCAGTCCAAGGGACTCTCAAGAGTCTTCTCCAGCACCGTAATTCAAAAGAATCTATTCTTCGGCGCTTGACCTTCCTTTTGGTCCAACTCTCACAGCCATACATTACTACTGGGAATGCCATTGCTTTGACCATACGGACTTTTGTTGGCAGGGTGATGTCTCTTTTTATTATGCTGTCTAGGTTTGCCATCACTTTTCTCCCAAGGAGCAGGCTTCTTTTAATTTCATGGCTGCAGTTAACATCTACAGTGATTTTGTATCCCAGGAACGTGAAGTCTGTCACTGCTTCCATGACTTCCCCTTCTATTTGCCAAGGCGTGATGGGGCTGGATGCCATGGTCTTAGTTTTTTTGATGTTGAGTTTCAAGCCCACTTTTGCACTCTCCTCTTTCACCCTGAGCAAGAGGCTCTTGAGGTCCTCTTCACATTCTGCTATTAGAGTGGTATCATCTGCATATCTGAGGTTGTTGATGTTTCTCCCAGCAGTCTTAATTCCAGTTTGTGATCCATCCAGGCCGGCGATTCACATGATGTAGTCCGCATATAAATTAAATAAGCAGGGTGACAATATACATCCTTGTCGTAATTCTTTTCCTATGCTAAACCAATCAGTTGTTCCTTGTCCGGTTCTAACTGTCGCTTCTTGACTCTTATACAGGTTTCTCAGGAGACCTGTGTGGTGGTCTGGTACTCCTATCTCTTTAAGGACTTGCCACAGTTTGTTGTGATCCACACAATCAAAGGCTTTAGCAGAGTCAGTGAAGCAGCAGTAGATGCTTTTCTGGTATTCCCTTGCTTTCTCCATAATCCAGTGAATGTTGGCAATACCTGAGAGCCAGTTTGGTGTAGTGGTTAAGTGTGTGGACTCTAATCCGGGAGAACCGGGTTTGATTCTCCACTCCTCCACTTGCACCTGGCTGGATGATCTTGGGCAAGCCGTAGTTCTGATAAGAGCTGTTCTTGAAAAAAGAGCAGTTTCTGTCAGAGCTCTCTCAGCCCCACCTACCTCACAGGGTGTCTGTTGTGGGGAGGGGAAGGGAAAGGAGTTTGTAAGCCGCTCTGAGATTCCTTTGGGTAGTGAAGGGTGGGGTATAAATCCAATCTCTTCTTCTTCTTCTACCCATCTGCAATATGGGCATATTGATCTACTTCTCTGGGTTGGCACTATGATTGCTAAATTAAAGGCCCTTCAACCCCTTCAAAAAGAGTTGCACAGTATTAGCGTCAAACTGTTATTTTTAATTCCAGTAGGCCTTTAAGTATGAGGATTAAAATATTGACATCCTTTGAGTTTATTCATTATCCCTTTTGAGTATTTAGTGCCGCACGAACTGGTCAGTAAGCTCCAATTCATTTCACAACAACAGTCCATCCTAAACATTTCCCCATGAAATAAACAGGACTTAAAGCAAGAAATTGCAAGTAGATAAATAGGTACCACTTCGGTGGGAAGGTAACAGTGTTCTGTGCGCCTCGGCGTTTGGTCATGCCGGCCACACAGCCACGGAAATGTCTTCTGACAGCGCTGGCTCTTTGGCTTGGAAACGGAGATGAGCACCACCCCCTAGAGTCGGATTCGACTGGCTTTCAAGCAAGGGAAACCTTTACCTTTACTTTTACAAACATTTAACTTGGGCTTGATCATGCCCTGAGTATTAGGGCATATGGCATGACTTGGATAGCCCAGGCTAGCCCTGCACTATCAGATCTCAGAAGCTAAGCAGACCAGAATAACCATTTGGATGGGTGACCACCAAGGAAGTCCAGGGTTGTGATGGTGAGGCAAACCACCTCTGAACGTCTCTTGTCTTGAAAACCCCACCAGGGGTTGCTTTAAGTTAACTGTGATGGGGGGAAAAATCTGGACATCTAATGGCTATCCAGTAGACCTTAAAAACTATATTGCATGTTGAGATTCAGTGGGAAATACGGCTCTTCCACATGATAAGAGCAGGGATCAAGTTTTCCGTTTCCGCAGCTCACGTCAAGGCAGTTTTATTCGTTCTGATTGGTTAACCTGGTACAGAACTGGACTCGCAAGCGACTGTAATGGACAGAGGTGACCCCTGGCGTGCGTGCTGATAGCAGTGCAGCAGGGCGTCTTGTTTGATGTTCGAGGCCAGACCTCTTTTCAAGCAACTGGGGCACTGGCAGGACTGCTGGCATCTGCAGTGCTAGAGAGAGCAACAGGCATGGCTCAGTGCCCGTCATCACCTGCCAGGCCTGCACAGCCACCAGCTAACAGTTGGGCTTCCTCCAAGGGTGTCTGGCCAAGTACAGCCCCTCTCTCTGTTCCCACTCCCCCCCCCATTTTATTTGCTGGCACACTGACATCCTCACAGGTAGACGTGGCACTCCCCACCGACAGCATTCTCTCCTGTGGTAGAATGGCAAATCAATTTCAGTGGCCAAAGCAGGCTAGAGTGAATTCAAGCATGGATTATTCAAGGGAAGTGTGGCTTGCTTCCAATGACAATTTTTGGCATTCACACAGATTAGAATTCTAACACAGATACTTTAAAAAAAATGTCGCCTGTATTCTCTTCTCCTCCAAAGTGCACTAAAAATGGCAGTGGGCTTCATAAAGCTCCTCATTGAGAACATAAGAGAAGGCAATGTTGGACCAGGCCAATGGCCCACCCGGTCCAGCACTCTGCGTCGCACAGTGGCCAAAACCCAGGTGCCATCAGCGGGGCCAGAACTCCAGAAGCCCTCCCACTTTGCCCCCCTCCCCGAAGCATACAGAGCATCACTGCCCCGGGGCATAGTGTTCATAAGAACATAAGAGAAGCCATGTTGGATCAGGCCAAATTCATACCCCCAAATTTTTGTTGGTCTCTGAGGTGCTACTGGAGTCAACTCTAGCTATTCCACAGGAAGTGATTCCAGAAAGACACAATGAAGAGCTGAGCTGTAATCCTAATCCATATGAGAAGGAAAATCAGGATGTTATTTACGCGGCATTGATTTGAGAAGAAGGGACCTTGAAAATGAAGTCTGGCTTGCATCCAATCGCCCACCCACCGAAGGCACACAGAGTTTCCCCCACAATCCCGTGGCGCCTTCTGACACCTGGAAAGATAATTCCCGAAGTCACAGGACGCCCCCTGGAGGAATAGTGTGCAAGTGAAGGGGTGAAATCACATTTGACATTTGCAGGAGGAGGAGGAGGAGAAGCAATTTCCACCCCGTTGGCCCTCTTCAGCCCAGCTTCCTCCCTCCCCAAGGGTCCCATAATCCCAGGAAGGAAGTGGCCAATGATTGGAAGGGGCCGCAACAGAGGAACACAGGAAAATGCCACAATCCATGCACAGATGTCTGTATACAGAAGAAAAAGAAGAGATTGGATTTATACCCCGCCCTTCACTTGGAGTCTCAGAGCGGCTTACAAACGCCTTTCCCTTCCCCTCCCCAGTCACCCTGTGAGGTAGGTGGGGCTGAGAGAGCTCTTTCCAGAACTGCCCTTGAGAGAACAGCTCTGAGAGAACTTGTGGCTGACCCAAGGTCATCAAGCAGCTGCAGGTGGAGGAGTGGGGAATCAAACCTGGTTCTCCCAGATTAGAGTCCGCACACTTAACCACTACACCAAACAGACTATAGTGATTCAGGGAGCCCCTCAAGTATCACCCTACAAAACCCGCGGCAGAAAGGCCCAGCTTTATCGCAAAGCCTGCTCCATGCCACAGGAAAACATGCCTTCTGATTAAGACGGATCCTCACCTGCCTGACTTCAGAGTAATCATGATTCCCTGACTCTGGACTCATGCTCAGTAATGCAGATGGTCGCTGCCATTGAAGCCTGGCAATGGAGATATGGAACCAGCTCAAGATTTTCTATTCCTTGGCTCAGTCATCAGCCAAAAGGGAGACGGCGCCCAAGAAATCAGAAGGAGACTGAAATGGGGAAGGGCGGCCAAGAAGGAGCTAGAAAAGATTTTTAAGGGTAAGAATGTGTCACTGGAGACTAAGGTCAGGATCTTTCCTATTATGGTGTTCATAAGAGAGGTCAATCAGTGGCTATTAGCCACAAGGTATAGGTAGGAACTCTCAGTCTGGGGCAATGTGGTGCTTGGGAAGGGGGGCAACAGTGGGAGGGCTTCTGGTGTCCTGGCCCCACTGGTGGATCTCCTGATGGCACCTGGTATTTCTGGCCACTGTATGACACAAGGTGTTGGACTGGATGGGCCATTGGCCTGATCCTACATTGGCTTCTCTTATGTTCAGTCCAGGCCCCCCCGACTTCCAATTTTTTATTTGTGGCGTTCCCTTGGGGGGTTGTGGGGGTGTCTGTGCAGGGTGCCCCCGACTTATTTAAAGACCCCCCCAAATTAAAAGATCCTGGCTATGGGCTTGGGCAGACCCAACAGGAGAGGGACTGACTCCATCCAGGAAGCCACGGCCCTCAGCTGGCAAGACCTGAGCCAGGTTGTCAACTGCAGGACTTCTTGGGAGGTCATGAATTCACAGGGTCACCATAACCCGGAAGACTCAGTGGCACTTAACGCACACGCGGCTGCCCCTCTGCCCTTTGCGCAGTGCTCCTGTCTGAACTCCCGTTCTCTCATTCTGCAGAGCGACCAAAAACCGCGAAAGATTTCTGCCGCTGGCTGAAAACAGCACCCGTGCAATTGCTTAAGAACATCCACATTTATTTATAACATGATATAAAAGAAATGAAGATATGAACATTTTGCATTTGAACAGTAGTAAGTGTCCTTTATACTTACAGCGGTTGTGCTCATTGTATAATATATACACAATGAACATAATTACATTTGTACACAAACTAATTGGGGACTGAATAACTTTGCTTATTGCTGTACACACCCTACTCCAACAGAGGAAGAGCCCAGTACCTCGAAATCCCTACCCTTCGTTCTTTTCTTGGGGGGGGGGAGAGAAAGGAAACACTAACATCCATGTCTAGGTGGAGGATAGTATGGCAGGAACGGACATTGCAACTTGACCGAGAAATAATTACACAGCAGAAGGGGGGGGGCACACCTTTTAACTCGGCATTAATAAAAATGGCACGTTCTTAAATAGAGAACAAAACATTTACAAATAAAGAAAAGAGTGAAAACGATACACGATCCATTTTTTAAAAAGCAATAAAATGAGGTTTTGAGTGGTGATCTGTAAAAGCAATCGATAAACAAAGGCTAAAAAAGGAAGCGAGAATTCCAACGTAATCGAATTCCCGATTTATTTATTTTTTTAAAAACCTTGAACTGCAAGGGGAGGAAAACCCACCTGCAAAAGTTCTGATTGGAGGCTGCATGTTAAAAAAAAAAAGAAAAGAAGGGGATCCAGAATGATGTGGATGGAAATTATAGCAGCAGCTGGCATCAGAAGGACAAATTGTTGACGGTACCATTGGGGGGCATTTTAAAGCTCTCTTGGAATAAACATTTTCCATGAAGTGATAAAACGATGCTCTGTGGCCAAAAGCATCAGAACTATGAATTTCATAGATTTCATAAAATTGACTGTACAACGTCTTCTCTTCATTTCCACGGGTCCATTGGTACGTCAGCCATGAATTGTTTCAGCAGAAGCTGGGACAGCTGGGGGAAAAAAAAGACAGAAAATGGAGGTTGCGGTTTAGTCCGAACACGTGGCTCAAAGAGATTCCCTGCTCTCTATGACCTGATACAGAGAAGAACACAAAACGTCCTATGAGCTGGGATAATTTTGAGGGGAGCTGCTAAGTGCAGGGATTCTAAGGAATGGTGGTGGGGTGGGGGGAAGAGGAACTTCCCAGAAGGACTTATAAAGAAATTTCTTCATATGGGAGAGGGCCAAATGTTGTAAGCCTCCCAACCCCACACTGGGCCTTGCTTGGGGCCACGGTGACTCGATGGGGGGGGGCAGGGGGGGAACACACAGCTCCCCAGAATATTGGCCCTCTGGAGCCTTTCCTGGTGGTGTAAATGCCCAATCTATCCACTTTAGATTCCCACTGGGGAGAAAAGTGTGGTATGAACTGCAGAACAGACAAATATTTGTATTTATTTATTTGTTCTATTTATATTCCGCCCTCCCCACGTGGGCTGGCTCAGGGCAGTTTACAACATTCCACATAATATTCAAAACCGGTATTCTGAATGTCTGAAATTCTACCCTGATGGCCTTTCAAGTCTCATGCTTGGCCTTTGCAGATGCCTTTAAGTGCCGGGGCAGGCGGGTGACATTGCTGTGGTTTAAGCCACAAATCTCCGTAAAGGACCTTCACTTCCGACCGGAAGTTCGGCCTGGCTTTTAAAAAAATATGCAATGTTTTCAATTAGTACTAAAAGTTTTATTAATGGCAACGCACACCCATGCCGGACAGCCTAACACAAACCTGCTGCTGCGGAGTTTCCTCTTGAAGTCTGAGCTGGCATCTCAAAGGAAGAAAGAGGATCTTCCTGCTCGTGAAGGCTGGTTTCTTCGCTCTCTTCGGTGCTGCTCTCAGGTTTGTGGTTTGCAACAGGGGCCTCATCCTTTGGGCTGGGGAGAGAAGAGAACCAAGTTTAGAGTTTCCTTCGGCTTCTAATTAGGTTAACTGATATAGTCTACTACTTCAGTAAAAGACCGACACCCACAACCCCCCCAACTAACTGAGACATACAGAATTATGAGATTTGTGTTAAAAAAATCTTGAAACTGAAGCTTTTGGGTGAAGAATCCCTCCAAGAAACGGCTTCTCCACTGAATTTTTAATTAAAAATGAACCTCAGGAGTCTTGGGAAATCCATAAGTCTTTTTCGCTTGTACCTAAACTGACTCCAACTAAAGCAGAGTGCCTTAAGAGAGTTGGACTGTAAATTATTCTTCCTGTTAGCACATGCCACGTGCATTCACGTTTTCCCACGTGTAGGTGAAGGGCAGATGATTGATTAATTCTGATAACGGTTCCTTGCGGAGCAGGCAAACGGACCAGGTTCTGAGAAACAGTCAGAATCCAGAAAGTTGCAAATACACCGCAGCCTTTTCAGGCCTCCAGGCTTTCCGGCATTCTCATTTCCCTCGCTTGTGTGTTCCTGTTGCTTCCGTTGTTGTTCTTTTCTGTTTTGCATTTGTTTTGCTCGAGGAGTGATCAATGCAATATCACATCCCTTTACGTCTGGCGTATCTCCCCGCAGGTTTAAACTGCAGGTTTTTATGCTGGACGAAAAGCAATGTAAAATCACATTGACCACTAGAGGGAGCACAACATGTGAGGGATAGCCTCCCTCAAGCAACAGGAACAGACAAGGGAGGAAAGCCCTCCCTTTGCCCTCTTAGCCCCTGGTCTTGTCCTCCCCATCTTGGCTTTTTTAGAAGGTCAGGGTTTCTCCAAAGTTGCATTCAGGGTAGAGGCTGTAATCACAAGGGAATAAACACCTGCGTTTCCCACATTTTTTCCCATTCTTGCGTTTTTATTGTGTAGCCTACATTTTGTTCCCAGGTTTTCATGCAGGGTTTTATCGCTAAATCTTCCATACTTTCCTTCTGAAAAAGTTTGTATAGCTTTTGTATTTGTTTATCTGCCAAGGACAACCAAATCTTGTCTAGTTCTAACATTGTGTCATTAAATTTTGTTTTTTTGTCCTTAGCAAATCTTGATTGTATTATTGTTCTCTCCCAACTTGTCAAGTTTATATTCATTTCTTGTAGGTTCTCCAATGTTTTTAATTCTTTTTCTTTGGTTAATAACTTTTCATAGGTTGCTTTTTTCCCCTCTGTTAGTAAAGCTGGCAATATAGAGGGAAACGAAAAAATTAGTAAGAGCTACACCATACAAAGAGAATATCCTAAAAATGTTTTACAGGTGGCACTGGTCACCGGATAAAATAACAAAATGTTATAAAAATGTCTCGGATACATGCTGGAGATGTAATAATAACGTAGGAACATACTATCATATCTGGTGGAGGTGTGACAAAATAGTAAAATTTTGGAAAATGGTAAAATATTTGATAAAAGAAATTGTAGGAATAGATCTGCAGCTTAAACCGGAAAGTTACTTGCTTAATATCTTGCCAGATATAGTAAATACAGATGATAAATGTATTGTGTTATATATCCTCACGTTAAGCAGAATTCTGATAGCGAAAAAATGGAAATCAGATTTACTACCTAAAAAAGAAGAAATAATGGAAAAAATATTCGAAATAGCAGAAATGGACAGATTAAATATGATATTAGCAGAGAGAGATGATAACGCTTATAAGAAAAGATGGTTTAAAGTGTATAAATGGTTTGAAAAAAATGTAGAATGAACACTCCGAAACTGATTTGTACAATGGGAATGTACTTGGATTTTTATTTTTTGTTTGTTTGTTTGTTGGAAAAAGTATAAATAAATTCTTAAAAAAAAATAATAATAAAAAAAGGAATAAACACCTGCGTGCGTGCCCATGGAAAAGTGTGTTGGGCTTGAAGTTATTTGATTCCAGCCTTGGTTTTTATATATCGGTAGTGGAATGAGTTTTGACAGCTTCATTATTTATGTTTCCTTAAAGAAACTTCAGGATTTTGGTTACCATTTGGTTACCATTTGAATGTGTTGGGTAAATGGTCTGTATTATATCAAACACTCACTAAGATTTAAAACAAAAAACAAACAAACAAACCACAAACATTCTAAATACACACCAAAGGTTAATGAAATAATGCACACAAACAAAGCTTAATCCTTCCCCTTTAATATCATCTCCATATACAAACAAGCTAAAGAGCAATTAACTTCTATCCAAACAACAGGACAAGTTGTGGTTTTTTTTTGGGGGGGGGAAGTATTTTAAAGAACAGCAAATAGACAGAGGAGATATTACACATATCAAACAAACAAACAAAAAAAGTCAAATAGGTTTAAAAGCTGAACTCGAACCAATCAAGTTTACTAATGTACTGTTCTGCAAGTCAAACAGTTCCGAACGGACTGTAGGAATCCATTTTATCCACTGAGAAATGCCAAACAACAGCTACAAGTCAAACCATCCCGGATGTAGTTCCAGGTGGTCAGCCGTGTTGGTCTGAAGCAGTAGAACAAATTTAGAGTCCAGTGACCACCTTTAAGACCAACAAAGGTTTATGCTCTGCACACGAAAGCTCATACCTTGAATAAACCTTTGTTGGTCTTAACGGTGCCACTGGACTCTAACTTTGTTCATCCTGAATGTTGTCATAGGCATAGACTGAATTCATTAAAGAATCTTGGATTTGCTTCAGCTTTTGCCTTCTTCAGCAGGTAGCTGATAGCACATAGAAGAGAAGAGGAGATTGGATTTATACCCCGCCCTTCACTTGGAGTCTCAGAGCGGCTTCCAAACTCCTTTCCCTTCCCCTCCCCACAACAGACACCCTGGGAGGTGGGTGGGGCTGAGAGAGCTCTGACAGAAACTGCTCTTTTTCGAGAACACCTCTGACAGAACTTTGGCTTGCCCAAGGCCATCCAGTAGCTGCAAGTGGAGGAGTGGGGAATGATACCTGGTTCTCCCAGATTAGAGTCTGCGCTCCTAACCACTACACCAAACTGGCTCTTTTGATTAAAAATTAATCTCAGGAGGGGCAGGGGTCCCCCAACCTTTCTGAGCCCATGGGAACCTTTGGAATTCTGCGACAGATGGTGGGCGGGACCAACCACCACGGAATGTCAGGGAGTGAGGTTATGCGTAACTACAAAATAGTAACTCTCCAGCGTTTCAGGTAGAAGCTGTGAAACGGGATGCCTTTTTAAACGAACGCACTGTTTTAGAATATTTTCTTGCATATACATACAGCTTACCATAGTCACTCAGTGAAGATCCTTGTGCTGTGGTGTCCGCTGCTCCCAAATCATGGTTTTTTTTAAAAAAAACCCCGCTCAGCCAATTAGAACCTGGCCCCACCCACCTTCTAAAAACACATGATGGGGACCATGTCGGGGATTTCTGACATAGGACTTCTCTTACAGTGTCTATATATTTAAGCGGTTTAACACAGTGGCTTCTTCTCTGAGACAGAGAGTTTACTGTCCCCCAACCCGCAAGCTGCCAGAGACTTCAAATAAGTCAAAACAAGGTCATCTGAATGTGCCACAAAATAGATTTCCACTGTTTCGCCAGTGATCAGATTAATGTATGTGGATTTTTTTTTTCCTTTTCAACGCGAGAACTGGTGTGTGTGTGTGTGTGTGTGTGTGTGTACTGGGCGGAATAAATAAGGATCACAGAGGTACTGAGTAATTCCCTGTATTTGCAGATGAGGAATCGATTTCAGAATTCTAAATTCTGAAAGGTCTGTCACTGAGAATACTTTAGTTTTCCTTTACCTGATCTCATAGTCGTGCATCTGTTCTAGTTCTTTTGGTTTTTCTGCAGCCTCATTTGGATTCTCCTCCTTTGACACAGAAGACCCGTCTGATGATAGGAGACCATCGCTTTTTGGTAACTGGGAGAGGATGAAAAATTATAAATGCTTTACTGCCCAGGGGATTCTTCAATCATTGTGATTTCAAAATCATCAGTTACTTAAACAAACACCATGTGTGTGTGTGTGTGAAGTGCCGTCAAGTCACAGCTGACTTATGGTGATCTCGTAGCGTTTTCCAGGCAAGAGACAAGCAGAGGTGTTTTGCCATAGCTTGCCTCCGCGTAGCAGCCCTGGACTGCTTCCTTGGTGGTCTCCCAGTAGGGTTGCCAGACCCCCCCAGTGGAGGTGGGGGTCCCCCGCTGCCAGGCCCTGCCCCCCGCCCAGCCACCGATCAGCTGGCTGGTGGAGGGACTTACCAGTAGAAAGAAGGCCTAGGCAATGTTGTCGGCATCGCACAGGAAGTGACCTCATCACGTCAGGACTTCCGGGTGACGCTCTGGTATATGGGTAAAAACTCTGGTAGAAGCCAATTTTATCATAGAGTTTTTGCTCAAATACCACAGCATCGCCTGGAAGTCGCCTGGAAGTGACATCACTTCCTGTGCAACACCAATGATGTGGCCTGGGCCTTTCACTTTCTCTTGGTAAGTCCCCACCATCTCCCACACAAACACTAACCAGGGTTGACCCTGCTTAGCTTCTGAAAGCTGATGAAATCAGGTTAGCCTGGGTCACTCAGGTCATGCAAACTCCATTTAGGTACATGTATGTATTTTATTGCGCTTTGTTCTTGTTTACATTTTAAGCTGTCTTGGAATTCCTGCTAGGTAGAAAGGTGGCTAATAAACGTTAAAATAAATAAATCTACTTATTTAAAATGTATTTAAAATTTAAAACAAACAGAATAAAATAAATGCAATTTCCAGAGAAGGTTCTAAGTCTGGTGAACTGCAGACTTATCTGACCCTTGGCTCCCGATTCATCCTTATTAGCCCGAACGGTAAGTACAAAAGAATATCCATTATCTTGACAGATCTCTTTCTAAGAAGAAAGTTTCTGTACAGCAAAAGGATTACAAGCAGATTCCCAACGCTTTACAGACGAACTCCACAATCGGCGTGGTGTAATTCTGGGGCGGAGTCCTACAACTCCGCTCCACTAACGGTAGACCCTTCCACCGATTCAAGAGACTCTTCCAAATGGGCTGTTAGTGGAGTCATAGGAGCTAATGCTTAGATGTCCCCCCCTCCCCAATTTTCTGATTCCTCGCCCGTGACAAGAACAAGGGAGCACCTGTGTAGTATTATGCTCCTCGGCACGATCATCGTCTTTCAGCCAAGGTGTGTCTGCACAATTTTGATGGCTTGGGCTCAAGTCGTTCACTTTAAGGGCATTCTCCAGTTCCTTGGTCACCCTCATGAAGTCGTCCTTCCTCTGGTTCTGCAGGGCAGGGTGGACACATTGTGAGCATGGAGAGAACTCGCCGTACCATTATAAAGTCAGACACTGGTTAAAAACAGGCCAAACGTCCTCCTGTAGCCAGTCTTATTCAAAATAATTTCATCTACACGAACAGGAAACAAATATATGCGATGCGATGCACAGCGTCCTATCCTTCTTCTGTGCCCCGAGAAAATGGGACTCTCCCCAGTACGCAGGAGTCACCCACCATCTACTTAAAGGTAAAGGTTCCCTTGCTCGAAAGCCAGTCGAATCTGACTCTAGGGTTGCGGTGCTCATCTCCATTTCAAAGCCGAAGAGCCAGCGCTGTTCTGATCTAGCCCCGTCGGTTTAAGATAAAAGTCATCATTTTTGTCTTTTGTCCATCTAGATTTGAGAGTTATCTGTTGCCACCAGGTCAATTTAATTTCTTTTTTATTCATTTCTTCATCCGAATTAACATACCTTTTCCATCTAATAAGTCAGCATATTTCCATCTACAATTCTTACCAAACAGTGTAGGTTTAGTAAAAGCCTCAACAGGGGATATCCATAGTGGAATCTTCCTATAGTGCTTGTACTTAAGTTCTTCCCAAACTCTGTATAAAGTGTCTCTAATTATATGCTCTGAAAAGTGGCTAGCCTCTTTGGAGGATTTCAAACAGAGGCTCGATGGCCGTCTGACAGCAATGTTGATTCTGTGAACTTAGGCAGATCGTGAGAGGGAGGGCAGGAAGGGTTGCCTCAGTGCTTAGTTCTTGTGGCCCATTCTTACACACCCAGGGAAATGCCCATCACCACTTTGGGGTCAGGAAGCAATCCTGGAGGTTTTTTGTCATCTTCTGGGTGTGGAACAGCGGTCACTGTGGGTGTGGAGGGGGAGGTATTTGTGAATTTCCTGCCTTGTGCAGGTGGTTAGACTAGATGACCCTGGAGGTCCCTTCCAGCTCTATGATTCTATGTGCTACTAAAAGAAACCGGACTGGTCGCATACCTGAGACAGCTTTAGAGGATTCTCTCTGACAAGGGCCGGGCTTTGTGAAGGGGACAGATCTGAGACACCAAGGAGGTTCAGCCCCTTTTTCTTCTCTCTCAGACAAGCCTGTTGGTGCCTCCTTATTCTTTCCATCTGCTCCTCTACAGTCATCCGAGGGCGCACACTTTCTGCCAAGCACAGCTGTTCCACTGCGCTTCTCGGCCTTTCCTTGAAAGGAAAGGAAGTGCACTGTTAAAAAAAAAAAAGCACTCACCGCCAAGCCTCTCCAAACGTTCACAGGGTACATCTCAGCTGTGCTCTTGGGGTGATTCTGCAGCTCCAAATCCCTAGAAACTGATGCTACATGAAACAATGTGCTAAGTGGAGTGCAGGTCATGAGTCCCCAGGACTCAACAGGGACATTGGTTTCTTATCTCATTACATATACTAACTCATTCAGTCTTCACATATGTATTCTCAACAAGAAGGACTATACATCCTCTGTATTTTAGCGCATTTCTTTTTCAAAATAGTATATTAGAATACTGAACGTAATGCCGGGAATACTGGGAAGTTTTGCTGTACTCACCTCAAAAAAGAAAGGAAAAAAATGCTGTTAAGTGACCTCCATGCCTGAGATGAGAGAATGGAGAGTCTCAGTCTACTTCCAGAATCTCGAAAAGATACCTTTACAAGTTTATCTGCTATTTTGACATATTGCTTTACAGCTGTTGACCTTATAACCTTAGCTTGTTATTTAGTTTTGTCTTCGCGTATCTTAAAACATCTTCATCATGTGACATGTTAATTTGCTGTTTGGCCCTTGTCTAGAAGTTTGAACCTTACCTACCATTCCAATGTATTTGAAAAAGCGTGCATGCACACAAAAGCTCACAGCTTGAATAAACCTTTGTTGGTCTTAAAGGTGCCACTGGACTCTAAATTTGTTCATGAGGCTGTAAAGTTAGCCTCAAAGATTTCCTTCCGTGTAACATTCAGTGCTGTGAGTCATTCCACGGATATTGCTACATCCATTGAACAAACATTGGCTGCCCGATGTGAAGAACTAGAAGTCGACTACCGTAGTGATGCTGAACTCATTTACATCCCAAATTAGGCAGATCATGAGAGGGAGGGCAGGAAGGGTCGCATCAGTGCTTAGTTCTTGTGGCCCTTTCTTACACGCCCAGGGAAATGCTCATCGCCACGTTGGGGTCAGGAAGAAATTTTCCTCCAGACCAGCTTGCCCGGGGATCCTGGAGGGTTTTTGTCATCTTCTGGGCATGGAACAGGGGGTCAATGGGGGTGTGGTGGTGGTGGGGAGGTATTTGTGAATTTCCTGTATTGTGCAGGGGGTTGGACTAGATGCCCCTGGAGGTCCCTTCCAACTCTATGATACTAATGACGAGGCACTGAAAGGTTTGGAGAGATGTGGTGGAGAAAAGTTGTTTCCATTCCATGGCCCATCAGATTGGCAATCTAGTAATGAAAAGTGCTGCGCTAAAGAAGCACTATGCATGATACTCTTACGTTATTTTGGAGCAAAGGTGGCTTCTTCTAGCTATGTTATGTTCCTGTTCCGGGCTCAACATCCTGAGATGGCATGGAGCCCCAAAGAGAGGGAGGAAATTAACCGTTATGAGCTTTACGTACCGTTCTGAGGTCTATCTTCTTAGTTTTCCTTAGAGTCACGTAAGAGGCTATGGTTGACGATTCCGGAGTTGGAGACTTTGTTCTGGGGGGCACCACTCCAATCGGAAAATGTGAGCCTGCAGAGGAACGCATAGTTGTTAAGCGTTCTGTATGCACAACTCGATGTGCAGTGAATGTGAAAGACATGTTTATCTTGCAGTTATTGGACTTTGGCTCTTATCTAGAATACCCTATCAAAAGAGGGATCGTAAAATACATCTATTAAAGTAAATGCTATTGCTGGTCAATAAGCAATGATTTTAAATGGATGGGTCTCTATTGCCAAGTGCTTCTCCTTGGGGGATCCAGGATGCTAAGTAGTCTTGGACACTGATGGCCCGCGTTCCACTCTTTCATCATCCCATTCTACATAAGTGAAGTGTTCGTAAGTGATGGTAGACTCTTTTTGCATTTCCCAAACCTCTAAAGTGAATGAAAGACCATTCAATACATTCCGTTTAAATCTCTCTCTTGCTGTGGCTCAGTGGTAGAGCATCTGGTTGGCATGCAGGAGGTCTCAGGTTAAATCCTCTACATCTCCAGTTAAAAGGACCAGGCGATATGAAAGATCCCTGCCTGAGACCCTGGAGAGCCGCTGCCAGTCTCAGTAGATGATACTGACCTTGAGGGACCAAGTGGTCTGATTCAGTGTAAGGCAGCTTCACGTGTTCATGTCCCACCTTACAGGTGAAGCACCTACAGGTGAAGCACCTGAAAAAGCATCCCTGGAATAATGTATGCAAATTGGATAAATGCATGCTGGATCCCAGCCCCTGCAGAAATGGATTCTGAAATTTCTAAAGCTCCTCGTTCTTACTGCCGAATAACTTTTGTCACCACGAAATTTCTCCAAATGTACGCGCTATTAAAGTGGCTTAGGAACCGAATCCCTTCTACTGGCAATTGCCACAGAGTGGCGGTTACTGTACTTCTACGGACTGAATCTCTCATTTAAGCTGTAAAAGCATGCAAATGTGCAAGAAGAAAAGTCTGGTAAATCACTGACACTGGTAAAAAGAGTTCGTGCCCTGGAGCTTGGACCGCTGGAATGGTATTGATGGAAAGACAGCACCCTCTAGCTAATTCATTCCACTTATGCAAACAACATGAACGGACTGGGCCCCGGAGACCAAGGGAAAAGGCAATACTAATGCATCTGTTTTAGTGGAGTCCTTACACAAAGGAGATTTATCTTTTCAAATAATACCAAAAGGTTCCCACTCCATACTATTAATCCATACCGAAATTAATCTTGTAGCATCCTTTCAACAGTGCTTTCAAACTAAAAATGCCGTGTGCACACATGAGCAAAAAGCAGGAACAACTTTTGTTGTAAATTCCATGCAAGTGTGCGTGTGCACACACACAAAAGTGTAGTTTAAACATACTGTCTGCCACAACACTGCAAAAAGGAGCAAATAAAGTTTTACTTGAATTGTAGTGTGGACTTAAATGTCCGATTTTAGGGATCCTGAAACACTCTTTTTCTTTTTTTTTTTAAGAGAAACTTCCATTCTGGGAAGCAAGAGAAGGATGTGCAGGGGTGGACTGGCAGGAAAAAATGGCCCTGGAAAAATGCCTCTCAGGCTCACTCCTGGCTCTGCTCCCTTGGCCAAGTGGCTCCTTCCCCTCCCGATGTGGCATTTGGATGTGTCACAAGTAGGGGTGTGCATTTGGCTCGGCTGAGCCAGAAAAAAACCCATATAATGCCGATATGGCATTATTTGGGTTCCCCAGAAGCCGAATCAGATTCTCTAATCTGATTCGGCTTCCTGAATAGATATCGCCGTATAGAAGCCGAATCTATTCGGCTTCTATTCGGCAATCCCTTTCCCGGGGCAAGCCAGCTGGGGAAGCAACAGGGAGGCATTTAAACATGACACCCTAATCTTTCCTCTCTTCTCCAGCTGGAGAAGGGATGGGGAGTCATGTTTAAATGTCTCTCTGATCTCTCTAGCCTTCCCCAGCCTGCCCACTTTGGTGAGTGGGCTGGGAAAGGGACGGGGAGAAATGTTTAAATGGGAAGTCGTGGGCCAGCTGGAGAAGGGAGGGAGAGGCATGTTTAAATGCAGCCACAGGCCAGCTGGAGAAAGGAAAAAAAGATTGGGGAGGCATTTAACCACCCCCAAAGTCACATGGGTGGGTGGGGGAGCAGGCTTCCCTCATTGAGGGAAAGGCAAAGTGGCTTCCCTTCAATGAAGGGAGCATGCCGCCTCTGTGGCACGACTCCAGAGAGTATAGATAGGAACTCTCAGGCTGGGGCAAGTGATGCCCTGTATTCTTGGTGCTTGGGGGAGGGGCAACAGTGGGAGGGCTTCTAGTGTCCTGGCCCCACTGCGGGACCTCCTGATGGCACCTGGTATTTTTGCCCACTGTGTGACAGAGTGTTCGACTAGATGGGCCATTGGCCTGATCCAGCATTGGCTTCTCTTATGTTCTTATGGGGAATTTAAACTTTAAACCCCCTCAGTCTGGAGTCGCACCACAAAGGTGGCATGCTCCCTTCATTGAAGGGAGGGCAATTTGCCTTCCCTTCAATGAGGGAAACCTCTCCCCCTGCAACTTCAGAGGGGGGGGGATTATTATACCCTATGGGGACAGTCCCCATAAGGTATAATTGAGCCGAATAAATTCGGCAACTCCAATAATTCCTGAACCCCAATATCAGATTCAGGAATATCAGCAAGTATTGATTTTTTTTTGGTTTTGGTAGATCCGAACCTGAAAAAATCCGATTTTTTTTGTGTGCACACCCCTAGTCACAAGAGGAACAGACAAAAACACTTCCACCTATTTTTGTGTCCAATCTTTACCCTCCCTTTCTCCATACATAATGGATGAAAATTATCAAAAGTATAAAAGCAAGCACATTAACAAGCCATTACACTTTCTGTAGAAAAACAGCTCCTGCCAGCTTATTCCCAAAAAGTTCGACATGTGACCTTCAATGCATTCTTCTGGAAACAGTCAAGCAAATGATAATTCGGTCATTGTAGCAAGCTCTCTTTATGCTCAGTAGTGACAATCTAAAGTTAGACCCTTAAAAATGTACCTTATCTTCTTTCATTGTTCACTCTGGGGCGCAGGTCTGAAGAATGCTGTCTGATACAAAAGCTCTCTATTGACTGGTCTGATTGGAGAGACTATATTATCTGGCAAATGGCATAGTGCATTGGCAACCACCACAGTAAAGCTTGCTCAAAGCCCTGATACGAAAGGAAGGCGGTCTGACATCTCTTGGGATTGCTGTAGCACAAATTCCCTATTCAAAACTGGCTTCCTTTAGGACTTCTGGCTTCCTGTAAGACTTCTCTCCTTCACTTTTGGATAGCTAGAAGTGATCAAGCAGTTATCTCTGCGTACTGATGGAAATAAGTGTCTTTGTGGTTCAAACTGGCCCACACACACAACCGCCAGTGTTGCTTTTCCTCAGACATCTCCCAGGCCTTCCCACGATCCTTCTGACAGCTCTGCTAAAGTGTATGTGCATCACAGGTGGGTCACTAATGCTACTGCAAATGTGAGTTGCAGAACAAACTCACATTGATCAAGATGGGTAGCTGTTTCAGTCTGTCTTGTAGCAGCAGAAAAGAGCAAGAGTCCAGCAAAACCTTAAAGTCTAGCAAATTTGTGGCAGGGTATAGGTTAACATTCCCCACCTAACCCTCTAAATCTTGAAAACTAAGTTAATAGGATTTAACTCCGTGCCATCAGCTTACCACTTCCTTCTACGCAAACGGATGATTCTCATTAATGCATCAATCGTAATTGATTAGACGGTTGAGACAAGCTGCATACCCATCTACTTTGTCTGATCTAATCTCTCTAGGACAGGAGTTGCAAAAAGCGGTGACGTGTGCAGGGGCGAACGCCGTGGGTCCCTCATTTCCAAAGGGAAGAGATTGCTATGAAGCGTGTTTTTACCCTAGAGGAATCCTCACACCCCCTCTGCACGTGATCACCAGTGGGGGGCAGGCCAGTGTGCTCATGCCTGCTGTCCCTCTCCACGCATTCAGTGAGTGTGTGGAGGGGCGTGCGCACAGGTCTAGAATGACACTCCAAATGAAGAGAGATGTTTCTTAACGCATCAATTGTCCTTCAAGCACACTGTCCACTCCCCTGCTCTGAGACAAACAGCAGCAGCATCTCTCTAAACATACACCTGTCCAATTTTTCCTTTTTGTAGCGCCTCCAAGGAGCAGACCCCACAGCATTCCCAGCTCCTCCTTTATTGTTCTTTCACTTAGAAGTCCTCCCCAGTTGTCAGGCCTGCCCGAGTTGCCTGCCTTCCACCATGATTTCAGGACTTCCTAGGACCTCTTTCCTGACCTCAGAATGGGTTGCGGAGCCACAAGAACTGCTACTTTCCCCTGGCTGGCTGGTTCCCACAGTGGTGAACTATCCAGCTGCCTTCCTCCCCGGCAGTCTGGGAAGCTCCCCTTTAAAGCCCATTGCTCCACCCCTTTCCCCTCTTGCCCGCCAATGGGCTCTGAATGTCTTCATCCATTTCCGTTTTCCAAGCTCTGCTCCTCCTCCCTGTTTATTCCTCCCAGCTGGGCGAGTCCCACCCAAAGTCCTCATCTCTCCCTCTCCTGTGCTTACCTGGCACCAAAATTGCAGGGGGGCTCCTAGTAGCTGTCCTTTAAATAACCCCAACATTTCAAGTTAATTGGACCAAGAGGTCCAGCTCTGAACAAGGTACCCCCAGCCGCCCTCCATTGTTTCTTGGGCAGAAAGACACACACACAGACACAAAAATGTTAATCCTAGGACCTCCCCTCATAGGAAGCCTATTGCAAGCTATTGCTAAGCCCAACCAACATAAAACCAGAGAATCTGACACTATGGAAAACACAAGAATTTGAATCTATGTATAATACAAGAATCTCAACTGCTATAAAACACAAGCATCTCAATGTAAAACACGAGAACCCACCAAAAACCTACAAACCCACTCCAACCAACGTCCGCAAAGGAACTTAAACCCCCCCACAAGAACACTTGAAACTGACAGCATCCTACTTAAAGCAGCCCTGCAAGCTGATATCAAGGCCCAGGAGATACAGGGGGAAAGAAAGAAAAAAAGGGGGGGGGGCGCGACAGTCCTGGGAACATACAAACACTGGATCCTGATATTCCCAGTTAAACTTTAATATTTCTGGGATTTTTCGGGGCCCATTTTCCAGCATCCCGAAAACTCCTCGATATATTTGGGAGAGCAGAATATATCCGGGGGGACGGGACGGGGGGACACTGATAAGGTACTTTTGGGTTGTAGGTTTGGCTTAGTTATATCCAAGTGCCCAATGTTACTAGGGTATTACCTGCAGGCTTACTACCCAACAGTTGCAGGGGGGGGGGGAGGAAAAAGGGGAAGCAAAGGGGAAGTTTGGCAAAGATGGGTTAAGATATGTAGCTAGTAATTCAAGGATTAACAACATTCTCCAAACAAAAGCCAACTCAAGAATTAAAACTGAAAGTTTGCAAAAAAAAAGAGACACATCTCCTTGTCTCATGAGAATTTTATGGTTCTGCCATATTCTGGCAAAATAATTCAGGGAGTTGGATGAACACAGAGCCATTCAGTGTTCAAGGGCAAGGACAGAAAGGGACCGAATGCTTGAATGTGTCGTTTGCACACATCATGCGGTATGTGATTAGACAAGCTGTCAATATGCATTTCCGGGTCGATTCTCAGTATCATCTTCGACTGGCAGAAAGCCCTTGGCGGACCCATAATTATACTTAAATTTACTGTGCTGCTTCCTTTGTAATCAAACAGCCGCTATGATATCTGTAAAACTATCACACGTTGTGTTGCTTCTTCAGTGTGGTCGTGGAATATTGCATCCCCCATTGGGAAAATTACTCAACAACAAGTTTTGTAGCAAATTGACTTTTTAAAGTAACCTTTCGCTGTAGACGTTTCTGACTCAGAAACCAGCTCTGCTTTTTCCTCCCCGTTGGATTCATCGACTTCAGCCACAGTTGTTAGTTCAGGCTCACTTTTATAAAGTCTGTAATCTGGACCCTGAAAATCAAGACGAGTAAACGAAAATTTAAAAAAAAAATGCTTTTCATTAGATGTGTCACAATGCAACAGTAACCCATGGTGCGTGGCAAAAATCGATGTTTTGAAACTACCCTCTTATTTAAAGCCTCAGGAGAACTTCATGGGCAGCTTACATTTTGTGTGCATTTTATTTCTCAGCATCTTCGTTTTCCAAGTTATGGTTCTTTCATAGCACTACATGCACTGTAGGTGCCATATAAATAACAACAATTTTATGAATTACTTCAAATATGCGTTTTTAAACACAGAAATACAAACACTGACGTCTTAAACCCAGTTTTGAAAGCGAGATCGGAGAGATATGAAATCACTGGGAATGCTGTGCTACAGCTCGATTGCAACACAAAATATGAGCCACCCGAGTCTTTGGGATACGTCCATATTTACAGAATGCAGATGAAAACACAAAATCGGCAAATGGCAGGGGGGAAAATGTAGCTGGGAATGACACAAATTAGTCTTTAAAAAAAAGGGGGGGGGGAACCACAACATTAAAACAGCCAGAATTCAAAATAAAATGGCCACTGTGAGGCTAGGGGGATGGGTGGGTGGGAGAGTCGCGGGGAAATGCCGGATGGACTGCGTGGCGGTGAGCGGCCACTTACGCAGTGAGCTCCGTTTCTTTGGTATCCTTGCACTTGGTGAATCTTCCTCTCTTCAGGCAGATGTACTGGGCCCCTGCTATAACAGAGCAAGGAGCTGCTATCACTGGGCAGAGGGGGGATTATAGGAGGATGCTCTGCAAAGTCATAGGACCGAGGGAGTGGAGGACGAGGTGGGACTACTTCCTCTTCCTAAAGATTGCAGAACAGTCACCTTATTTAGATGCGTTTCTCTGTTACAAAAAAGTTATATAATTTTTTTTTCCTTCCCCCAACTATTTCACAGCTCGGATAGTTAAAGGGATATTGCCCTTATCGAGAGGAATAGACTGAAAAACAAAATCTCTTTTATAAGGCATAACATTTTTTCCCCTCCCCCCCACCAGGACACAGCATTTTGAGGTTCCCCCCACCCCGAAAGCATGCTTGAGATGCAGCTGGCCCCTCCCCGGTCCCTCCCTTCAACTTAGCACAATGTCAGCTCTTTTGTGAAACAGGTCTCCTCCAGGGTAATGCTAACTGCTTTGTTTCCTGCATCTTGGGTGTAAAGGTAAAGGTTTCCCTTGCTCGAAAGCCAGTCAAATCTGACCCTAGGGTTGCGGTGCTCATGTCTGTTTCAAAGCCGAAGAGCCAACGCTGTCCAAAGACGTTTCCGTGGTCATGTGGCCGGCATGACTAAACGCCAAGGCGCACGGAACGCTGTTCCCTTCCCACCGAAGTAGTACCTATTTATCTACTTGCAATTTCTTGCTTTCGAACTGCTAGGTTGGCAGGAGCTGGAAGTAGAGACGGGAGCTCACTCTGTCATGCGGCACTTGGGTCTCGAACTGCTGAACTACTGACCTTCCACAGCCTGCAGTTCAGCGTCTTAACCACTTGAGCCACCGCAGCTCCAATCTTGGGTGTAGGTGCATAGTTTATTGTATGTCAGTTTCATAACCTTGTTAGTTTGGATCCTGTCTAGATTTCCTTCAGTATGGGTGAGTTTTTTTTGCTGCCCCCTGGGAGATCTCAAGCCCCCCCCCCCAACTGTTCCTGGGGTCTCCAGTCCCTCAGGTGCAGCATTTCAGGGGGTGTTTTAGATTGCACAGGAGGAAGGAAATCAGTGAAAACTGCCCCCCCCCCATACTTGCACCTGCAGAAATCTAGGTGGGATTCAACTCTATTTGCCCAATATTTATGTAAAGGTTACAAGGTTTAATGGCTTTCATAAAAACTGAATTTTTATAAAGTTCCTTTACTTATTGGCTCCCATACTAAGCTGACAGCATCCCTTTAAATCTATTATTTATTGAGGGACTTGGGAATGTTCAGTCTGGAGAAGAGGAGGCTGAGGGGGGACATGATTGCTCCCTTCAAGTATTTAAAGGGCTGTCCCTTAGAGGAGGGCCGGGAGCTGTTCCTGTTGGCAGCAGAGGAGAGAACTCTCAAGAATGGGTTTAAATTAAGGGCGGGAAGGTACCGGCTGGATCTTAGGAAAAACAGGAAGACTTCTGCAACAGTGGAATCGGCTGCCTAGGGAGGTGGTGAGCTCCCCCTCACTGGCAGTCTTTAAGCAGCAGCTGGACAAACACTTGCCAGGGATGCTCTAGGCTGATCCTGCACTGAGCAGGGAGTTGGACTAGATGGCCTGTGTGGCCCCTTCCAACTCCGTGATTCTATGATCCTATGAGATGATTACAGGATCAGAGATGTTGGGACTCCTTACACGCCTGGTGGTTTCACTTTGCACTTGTGGATGCCCGGCCCTTACAGGATCAGGCACGCGTGTACATGGAAAACAGCATTCCTTGCTATGTAAAATGCACACAGGGTGGGGAGGAGACTCAAAGTCTCCGTTTGCTGGGGGGGGAGAGCCTGGGTAGACCCCAAAGTGGGACGAGAAACACAAACCGCTAAGAACAGTTCGATTCGAGACCAGTAGCGCCTCAGAGACCAACGAGAGTTTCAGGGTATAAGCTTTCGAGAGTCGGAGCTCACACCCTGAAACTCGTGTTAGTCTCTAAGGTGCTACTGGATTCGAATCCAACCGTTCTACACAGGCCCACATGGCTACCCTCTGAAACAAACTGATAAGGAATAACAGAACCCGTAGGGAAAAATGCTGTTAAGTTACCTCCAGGCCTGAGAGGAGACAAATGGAGAGTCTCAGTTTACTTCCCACAATTAGAAAATATGCCTTTACATATCTATCCCCTATTTTGACATATGTATTGCTTTGCTGTCCTTTCCTATCTTAATTAAATCAGAACAACTGTTGACCTTATAACTTGAGCTTGTTATTTAGTTTTGTCTTTGCATATCTTAAAACATCTTCATCATGTGACATGCTAATTTGCTGTCCGGCTTCTGTCTAGAAGTTTGAACTCTACCTTCCATTCCAATTTATTTGAAGAAGTGTGCACGCCCACGAGAGCTCGTACCTTGAATAAACCTTTGTTGGTCTTAAAGGTGCCGCTGGACTCTAAATCTGTTCAGTAATGAACGCTTTATTTACTCCATTTACACCCCATTTATCCCCAATGGGACCCCCAAATGGCTTACAACATTCTCCCCTTCTCCATTTGATATTCACAACAACCCTGTGAGGTAGGACAGGGCGAACAGATGCTACTGGACCAAGGCCACCCAGCACGCTTTCCGTGGAAGAGTAAGGACTCGAACCTGGGTGTCCCAGATCTTAGTCCGACACACCGACCATTAAGCCACCCCTCACGGATTTCAAGATAATTCAAGAATTATCTAAAGAATGTTTTGTAGAAAACTGATGAACAGAAGCCTCAGCTTTTGAAGTTCAGACACTGATTCAGGTTAAGCGAGCTTAAAAAAAATAACCCTAAAATCATACCTCATTTTTATACTTAGATGAAAAAGCCTTTGATGCAACGATACCTATTTAAAACAAACAAAAACATTGTATAATGAGCCAAGGATTAAAGCACTGGCACTGACGTGTACCCCTGCACTGAATAAACAGCCTGAATATTTTCTTTTTTGGTTGCTGCGAAACCTAACTGTTCTTAACCAAGTGAGAGCATTTCATTCCTTAAGGGTTTTGCTTTTTTTTGCCAGCTTCTAAGAGGCGAACATGCTGATTTACCTGCCTCCGCGGTGCTGTTTCTCTGCTGCTTATGTTTACTCAAACCTTCCATGACATCCTGAATCCGCCAGAGCTCCTTCTGAATTTGAGCGCGCTGGATGCCGGCTGACTCAGTCTATTGGAGAGAAACATTAAGACTTGAGACCGTTTGTTTAAAAACGCATCCGAGGATAAAAAGGGTTCATTGTCTGAGCAGAGTTCTCTGTTCTGAACCTGCCGGCATTTGCCTGGATTTAAAAAGAAGGTCGCCTACAGGCTAGAATCTCCCAAAGGTACAGGTCAACCTGGTGCTGTTGCCTATACCAGTGATGGCGAACCTTTTAGAGACTGAGTGCCCAAACTGCAACCCAAAACCCTCTTATTTATCGCAAAGTGCCAACACGGCAATTAAACCTGAATACTGAGGTTTTAGTTTAGAAAAAAGAACTCATACATTAACATAAGATGATCCAAACAAAGTAAGGAAAGCAATCCCAAATGCTTTCATTTACTTAAAATTATTTGGCAGAGAATTCCACACTTTAATGATGGTCTGGGCCTGGCTGGGGCGATCGCACACGTGCCTGCTGAGAGGCCTCTGAGTGCCGCCTCTGGCACGCGTGCCATAGGTTCACCACCACTGGCCTATACTGTCTGCCCGAACCTTGATCTGATCAGAGACCTGTTCGGGGGGTATAGCAAAGTGCCAAACATGAAGCCTCCTTACACTGAATCATACCGTTGGGCCTTCAAAGTCGGCACTGTCAACTCAGACTGGCGGTGGTTCTCCAAGGTCACAGGCGAAGGTCTTTCAAATCACCTATGACCTGGTCCTTTAGCTGGAGACGCCAGGGATTGAACCTGGGACCTTCTGCATGCCAAGCAGATGTTCTGATGCTAAGCCACAAAGGTATTAGAATATATTGGGCCACACATTTCTTATTTCTGCTTCAAAGATTTAAAGTACGGTGGAATTTTTGAAATATTCTAAAGGCAAAAGTGCGCTCATTAAAATTAAGCACATCTTGATGATACTTTCCCTAAACGTTACTCTTTTTTTTTTTTTTTTATAATCAAGCATGGCAGATGTTGTCCGTCTAGCAGGAGGACAAGAATTAAAAGGATGGACTACAAAGAGTTTCTGAATGTCTGCACCAGATATTTCTTTGAGAATTTGCTCATTAATTGCATTCAGGTTGTTCTTAAGGTGAGTGTGGCA